TTCTTTTTTCCATGGATTTTTTGAAGTCCCCTTGTATGTCTCAATTTATTTGTTCCACTCTTCGTGGCCTTTTAGCTTGTTTATAGTATTTTTTTTTAACTTTTATTTAATGAATATAAATTTCCAAAGTACAGCTTATGGGTTACAATGGCTTCCCCCCCATAACTTCCCTCCCACCCGTACCCCTCCCCTTTCCCGCTCCCTCTCCCATTCCATTCACATCAAGATTCATTTTCAATTCTCGCTATTTTTCATTTTGAGATTCCTCTTGGGTATAGTGGCTAAGCCATCCTGACTTATATTTAAGAAACTTGAAAATTATTTTATTCTTCAAACTTTTACAATATGTTTTGGGATTTTTATTTAAAGATTACTTATTTACTTGAAAGAGTTATGGGGGCAGGGGGAGGGTGAAGCAGACAAGAGAGACATAGAACACATATGAATGAGAGGGAGAGAGGGAGGGAGAGAGAGAGAGAGAGGGAGAGAGAGAGAAATCTTCTATCAACTGGTTCCCTTCCCAGATGGCTGAAGCCAGGAGTTTCATCTTGGTCTCTCACATGGCTGGCAAGGGCCCAAACAGCTGGCCCATCTTTTGCTGCTTTCCCAAGTCATTAGCGGGGAGCTGGACTGGAAGTTGAACAGCTAGGATATGAACCAGCACCCATATTGGACAGTATCACAGGCAATGGCTTAACCCACCATGCCACAAGGCCAGTCACACATTCTGGGATCTTAACTGTTTCTAATATACTCAGAGATGCCGGGAGTATGGAAGAAGATAGCTTTCAAACTGTCGATACAATCACCTGCCAATTAAATATAGAATTTTATTTATTTGGAGAGCCTTTGTTAGTAAATTCAACTGTTATGATAACAGCAAAAGAATTCAGAGGAAATGAGGCCATTATGCAACTCAAATAGATGTCACAGAGATCATACAATAAAGCTCACTCAAAGAACTCAAAGAAGTTCTTTACCGAGTGTTCTCTTATTATGGACATAATTACTATACAGCTATTTTGACCCCTGCTTCCAAGAATGTAGAAACCAGAAGCAACACTTAAGGGCATGGACAATGCCAATGTGGTAGCATTATGTGGACAGGGCACAGTAGTGAGTGGGAAAAGGCTGTGAGAAATGGAGATTAGTAAAACAACAATTGCAAAAATGGCCAATAAACTATAGAAAGCAGATATGAATTTAGATGGCACAGCAGCATAGGCCATAGTGAGAGATACTATGTATCTTGATAACAACTATCAGTAGCATAACACAGTAATGATTACAATGAATCATTAATCATTTAAACTGTTTAAGTAATGCTTAATCTAGGATGATTTCTTGAAAATGGATAAAACAAAGTCTTCATCCTTTAAGAAGTATGTAATATGGGGCCAGCGCTACAGTATAGCAGATAAAGTCGTTGCCTGCAGTGCTGGCATCCCATATGGGCGCTAGTTCGAGTATGGGCTGCTCCTCTTCCGATCCAGCTCTGCAAATGCCTGAGAAAGCAGTGGAAGATGGCCCAAGTGCTTGGGCCCCTGCACCCATGTGGGAGGCCTGGAAGAAGCTCCTGGCTCCTGGTTTCAGATCAGCCCAGCTCTGGCCATTGCAGCCATTTGGAGAGTGAACAAACGGATGGAAGACTCTTTCTCTTTGCCTCTGCCTCTCTCTAACTCTGCTTTTCAAATAAATCAATCAATCTTTAAAAAAAAAGTATGTAGGAATTATCTATTCTTCAATACTTTTTTATACTGAAAAGACTAAGTGGATACATATTTTGGATCACTGATCCAAAAATATGAAATACTCTAAAATTTTCAGATTTTGAACTTTCAGAATAGGAAGAACTGGAAAAGTTCATGCAAATATTTCCAAATCTGAAACACTTCTGATCTCAAGTATTTTGGAAAAGGGACATTCAACATATAAAAGCTTTATTGTTCTCTGTGTCTATATACACTTAAGATTGTTCATAATTACATAAGAAGTATTCCATATGGACTGACAATCCCACCTTAAAGTTTCCCTGTGAACATACAGATGATTATAAACTCTAACTCATATGCTATATGTCCACATATTTCATTACAACTCACAGCATTAAAACATCACTTTGCAAATTATAAAGCTTCATCTAATTATAATCTTAATACTTTAAAAATATCTTTTAGGCAACAAAACTTGAAGTTTTTGATCAACTTCTGTACTTACCCAGGTAAGTTAATTTCACTTCTTTTTTGACCATGGCGATCAAAGATTTTCACGATATGATCAGCTCTAAAAGCAATTAGAATATAAACATATTTAAATATTTCTTTTATTTAATCTATGTATATAAAAAATTAAGGTGTCATTCAAGTTCTCTCATGATCATAATTTGGATCCAAAAAGCTATTACCCTGGAAAAGCTCTATGAACAGTGATGTTAATGGAGATGAACAGAATTCCTCTTCCCGTATACAAGTGTCACACAACCACTCAACTCATGAACAGAAGGCATGGTAAGCAGGCACACAACTGTTACTTTAAACGTTCATTGGTTTCTTACCCTGATACTGCAAGGTAGTTGCCAGATGTTTTTTGCCAGGTAAACTGTATTGGTGTGCCGTGCCAAGCCTTTTCTTGCAGTGAGAAGACACGCTATAAAACAAATACAATTTTTATATTTTCAAAACACATACAATCAAAGGTTGGGCAGAAAAGGTGTCAGAACATAATCATGAAACAGAACCCAGGATGTCAAAGACTTATGTTAGAGTTTATCCAAAAGACATTAACAATAAAGCAAAACCAACCAACTGGGTTACACTATATAGATATGCCTCAACATACAGGAGACCTTTAATTACAAAATTTGGCTTTTGAATGTTTTCTTTGGTTTCTGAATGTTAATTGTAAAAAAAATAATTTTTTGTTTTATAGATGTTGAAGATTAAAGTAATTTAAACTCGATTTAATTAATTACCCATGGCATGGATGTGAGGGATTAAATTGAACAAAATTGCTATTTAAAAAATCTAGATTTAAATATAAAAGATCTATATTCTTTCAAAATTATTTCTCCCTTTACCCTTGAGTTAAATTTTTATCTCCATTAAGTGTTTAATGTGAATGGGCAGATTATTTTTTTACAAATATTTTTATTTATACAATCTAGAATTGTGGTGATGAGTATGGAAGCCACAAACCACATGTGGCTACTGAGGACTTATAATATGGGTAATCACGGTCCAGCACTGTGGTGTAGCACGTAAAGCTGCCACCTGAGTGCTGGCATCCCATATGGGTGCCGGTTCGAGTCCCAACTGCTCCTCTTCTGGTCCAGCTCTCTGCTATGGCCTGGGAAAGCAGAAGATGGCCCAAGTCCTTGGGTCCCTGAACCTGTGTGAGAGACCCAGAAGAAGCTGGCTTCAGATCAGACCAGCTTCAGCCACTGCAGCCAACTGGGGAGTGAACCAGCGCATGAAAAACCTCTTTCTCTCTCTCTCTCTCTCTCTCTCTGTGCCTCTGCCTCTTTTTAACTCTGCCTTTCAAATAAACAAATTAATCTTCAAAAAAAAAAATGGGTAATCCAAATTTAGATGTCCTATGAATATAAAATACAAATCAGATCTCAAAGGCTATGATAAAAAGAACACAAGCGATGCCATTGATAATTTTTATTTTGATATGTTATTATACATGTTATAATGTTGAAACAATAACATTTTAGATATATTGGGTAAGGAAATATATTAATTGTACCTTTTTTCTAAGATTCATTTACTTGAAAGAGTTACAGAGAGACAAGGAAACGCAGAGAGGGGTATTTTCCATCCTCTGGTTTACTCCTCCAAATAACCACAACCACCATGGCTGGCCAGGCTGAGGCCAGGCGCTTCATCCAGGTCTCCCACGTGGATTCAGGGGCTTCCACTGCTCTCCCAGGTGCATTAGTAGGGAGCTGGATTGCAAGTGGAACAGCAGAGATTCCAACTAGCGCCCATATGGGATGCTGGTGTTGCAGGCTTAACCCATTAGGCCACAAGGTCAGGCCCAGTTTCACGTGTTTCTTAAAAATTTAATGTGGCCTCTAAAAATTTGAAATTACATTGACTCACATTGTACCAGACATTGCTAATCTAGAATATTTAGTAACATGAACTCAGAGAAATTCAGATTTTAGTACTAAGTTATTTTTATCAGGGGGTGGGGGTGGCAGAGGCCCAAGCATTTGGGCCAGCTTCTGCTGCTTTCCCAGGTACATTAGCAGGGAGCTGAATTGGAAGCGGAGCAGCTGGGCCTCCAAGGGGCGCTCATATGGGATGCCAGAGTCACAGGGGGCTTAACTTGCTGCTCTACAATGCCAGCCCCAGTATCAGGTTAAATTATAGACAACGATGACAGCTATCTCTAGGCACATGAAGTTTAGATATAGAAGCCTTGAGAGTGAGGGGCAACACTTTCAGTGCTCAAAGTAAACATCAGAAAAAACATCCATTAAATGAAATGTACATCTATTGAAAGCAAGTGTTATAATCACTAAGAATACTGGAAGCAGAGGTGTGCTATAATCGCAGGTGCACACAGGTGTGTTGAGCACGAAGTCACCCACGAGAAAAAAAGGATATTTAGAAGGATCTTCCTTTTGCAACTTTGTGACTACATTGCTCCGGAACCCCTACAAGTTTAAGGATGTCCTTAAACTTGAATTTTTAAATTGATCTTTTCGCTTCTCCGCCAGCGCAGGGCAGGGGGCTACTGCTGTGGAAAATCGCAAGGGTGAATGAGCGGCGGGCAGAGACCGGGGCGCGCGGGGACGCCGCGCGTGGGACGCCTGAGGGTGCCGATTTCTCAGTGAACAAGGTAAACTCGCTACCAGGTGATCTGTAAACGGGACCCAACTCCAGGTCATTCTGCCGGAGGCCTCGCATTCTTTTTAGGGCTGGGCTTGCCAGAGCGTTCACCCTCAAAAACACGAAGCCCTCGCGACCCCGGATCGGGTCATCCTCCGAACGCGCCACACGACCCGTCCTCTCCGCCAGCCAAGCGGAGCCCGGGCGTCTTCAGATCCCGGCTGCCCATTTCCGGCCGCGGCGGGGTCCCTCTGCCCGCCCCTCTCCTCCACCCGCCGTCCCAGAAACCAGAGGCCTCCCTCTCCTCCCGCTCCCGTTTTCTTTCCTTTCCCCGCGGTCTTGGACTGGGCTCCCGCCTTCTCCCTCCCTGGTAATCCCACTCCTGCCGCACCCGAGAGGAGGGAAGGGGGCACAGGCACTCTCCTCAGAACGACGCGGAAGGGTCAGCGGTCGCGTCCTCCTGCCCCCCGGGGATCTGTAAGTTATTTACCTTCATCTCAAAGCTCCAGCGGCCGCGCGATCTTTTAAGTGCGCAGGCGCACCCAGTCTCCTCCGAGAAAGCCAGAGCGTTCCCGTCACCCAGGAGACCGCGCGAGCAGCGACCAATCAGCGAGAGCCAGCTGAAAGGCGGTGCCTCGCGGGGCGGGGCCAGGCAGGGGCGGGTGAGAGGCGTGGACTGGAGTCACGTGACGCCTGCCGAGCTCAGCCCTGGGATGGGCGTCACGAGGTCTTCTCCTGCTCCGCCTTCCTGGCGGGGCTCTCTCTGATTGGATAAAACTCAGAGATTGGCCAGGTGGAGGCTTGAAAGGCACCTGGCGGGCAAGGAACTCGAGAGAGAATTGGGACGCGAAGGGATACCGTTTAAGGAAAGAAGACACAGAATGTTAGATAAAAGCGGGAATTGGCTTTTGGGCCAAATACTCGTAACACAGCCCGCGCAAAAAGAGGGTTTGGGCGACCCTGCCTGTTTCTGGGCCTGAAAAGATGAGATGTGAGAAGTAGTTTCAGGATTGTTTTGTTCCCCCTCAATTTCAGCAGAATTGGCTAGCGGAAACGGACGGGAGCAATGAACTCTCATAGTTTCCTTTAGCGTTTGAACCTGGTGGATTTCCAGATAGTATACCGTGCTTCATTATTGACAATGTCAGAGTTCCTGCTTTCCCCGAATGTCTGAAACTGTTGAAGCAGCCCACTTTATGTGTTGTTTTTTGTTACTAAAGTCAGGTGGAATCTGATGGGCTTAGAGAAAAATAGTGATTTAAAATGATTAACGATGGATGTTGGCAAATGTTTAAGGAGGGTGCTGTTCCTGTGCATCCTTGTTTACGGTTAGGTTGATTCCTTAAACTTTTACTGCAAGATTACTATGCAGCCATTCAGGGTTCGCTGAAGTTGAAGACTAATCTCTGCTGGCCTTATGTTTGCAGCTTTAGATGTTGAATTTCAGATTCAAGAGCTGCTCAATGAGATGAGATGTCTTTACTAGGTGGTTGAGTGAAAGGGAAAAAGGTTAAAGAAGTAGAATTTCAGAAACTGTCCACTTAGGCAATGTTGGAAACACAAGGAAACTTTGGATTTAGAGGGAAATTCACGTATAGAGAAAATTAGGCCAGAGAAGTGAAAACTAGGAGAGTGTGGAGTCCTGAAAACCATGGAGAAATATTTCTAGAGGTTCAAACTAGAGATTAAAAAATTATTGCTGTGTCTCAGAAGAGAAAGTTAACGTAGAGTAAAAGAGAGGACAAATGTGAGAAGTTGTAATAAGTCAGCTTATTTAGAGATACTTAGGCAGTTTTGCTGGGCTACCTGCCACCCCGGGGTAAGGGGATTTTCTTAGTTGCTAATTCCATTTCTTGTTTTAAGTCTATTCAGATTTTCTGTGTCGTCTTGAGTCAGTTTTGACAGTTTGTTTCTTAACCTAGATGAAATGGATGAATTTTTATTATCCATTTTGTTGGTATACAGTTCTGACTATACCTTTATATTCTTTTTAAAATTTTGTAAGATCATTGGTGATATCTTCTCTTTTATTCCCTTTTTTAGTTATTGAACCTTTTCTTGTTTTCCCTGGCCAGTGTAACTAAATACTTGTTGCTTTTATTGATCTTTTCAAAGAATTTTGGTTTTGTTGGTGTTAGCAGTTGAATTATGTCCCTTTTATTAAAAAGATATATGGAAGTCTTAATCCCTAGTGCTTGTGAGTGTGGCCTTATTTGGAAATAGGGTTTTTTCAGATGTAATTAAATTGAGATTTGTTTTTGTTAGTGTGGGCCCTAATCCAATCTAACTAGTTTTCCTTAAGAAGAGTGAATCTTGGGCCCAGACTTAGAGGGAGCATGTTATTTGACCACAGAGGCACAGACTGGAGTGATTCAGCTGCATACCTTGTACCGCCAAGGATTGATGACCACACCAGAAACTTGTTAAAAGGCAGGGAAATAATCTACCTGTGTATGAGGACACAAGGCCTTGTCAACACTTTGAAGTAGGAAGTAGGACTTCTAGTCTCCAGAAGTGTGAGACCCTAAGTTTCTGGTGTTGTGAGCTATCTATTTTGAGGTACAGACAGTCCCCAACTAATAATGGCTTGACCTATGACATTTTGAATTTATGATGGTGTGAATGTGATGTGTGTTCGGTAAAAACCATACTTCATATTTGGAATTTTGGTCTTTTCCAGGGCTGGTGCTATGTGGTGTGACTCTTTCTTGTGATACAGGGCAGTGGCTGTGAGATGCAGCTCCTGCTTAGCCCTGAGATCACAAGGATACACCACAGATACCCTGCATTAGCTGCATTGCTGGCATTTTCTGGATACAGGTATTCAATAAATTACATATACTATTCAAGATTTTATTACAAAATAGACTTTGTATTTGATTTTTCCCAACCATAGTGTAAAGTAAGTGTTCTGAGTGTGTTTAAGATAGGCTATGCTATGCTATAATATTCAGTATATTAAAAGCATCTTCGACTTGGGATAGGTTTACCAGTACGTAATACCATTGTACATCAAGAAGCATCTGTAATTTATTACAGGAACTGTAAGAAACTGATACAGATTTTGATACCAGGAAGTGGGGTGTTGCTGTAACAAATGCCTGAAGACTTGGAAGTGGCTTTGGAATTGGGGAATTGATAAGAGGCCAGGAGAATTTTGAGGCACTTAACAGTAGAGCCTAGACTGCCTTGAAGACATTATTCATTGAAATAGAGACATCAAAGTTACGTCTGTTGAATGCTCAGAAAGGAGAAGCTTTCTTTTGTCTTAGAGAATACATAGATTGTGAAATTAGAATTTTGCTACCTAGATTGGAGAAAGAATGTTGCTGGGCATACGGATGTTAAAAGGGTTTCTGGTGAGGCTCAGATGGAAATAAGGAACATGTTTCTGGACACTGGAGGAAAGGCTTTCCTTGTTATAAGGTGGCAGAGAACTTGAATTGTGTTGGGTGGAAAGCAGAACTTGTAAGAGATGAACTTGAGGTGCTGGCTTTGCGGCACAGCAGGTTAGGCCGCTGCCTGCAATGTGGGAATTCCATATGGGCACCGGTTCAAGTCCTGGCAGCTTCTCATTAATGGCCTGGGAAAGCAGCAGAAGATGGTCCAAGTGCTTGGGGCCCTGCACCCATGTGGGAGACCCAGAAGAAGCTCCTGGATTTGGTCTAGCCCAGCCCCAGCTGTTGCCAGCCATTTGGGGAATGAACCAACAGGTGGAAGATTTTCTCTCTCTCTAACTCTGTCTTTCAGATAAATAAATAAATAAATCTTTTTAAAAAATCAGATGAACTTGGATATTTATCTAAGGAGATTTCTAAGCAAAGTGTTTAGGGCATGGCCAAGTTTCTCCTTGCTGCTTGTATTAAAATGCAGGAGGGTGGAGATAAATTGAGGAATGAACTGTTAAGGAACTTAGTGATTTGGGAAGTCATCAGCCCATTCAGATAGCATATCCTGGAAACAAGGCCAAAAGTGCAGATAGACAACTGTTTGCTAAAGAGATTACGCATGCGACTTCTGGAAGTAGCAACAATCTGAACAGTAGCAAAGATCAGTGAACTTCAAGATACAGCAACATAAAATCTCCCTAAAGCTACTCTACCTCCAAAAGAAAAAGAGAAATCCACAGAGCGTAATTTGAGTTGTAGAGAGCTTCAAGTAGCCTAACACTGTGGCCATTTGGGGAGTGAACCAGTGATAGAAACTCTTTTTCACTCTCTCTGTATGTGTCACTTTGCTTTTTGTATAAATAAAATAATTATTTTAAAAAAATCAGCTTTTCCTAGAGCTATGTAAAGTCTTAGGGCAAACCACTTAAAATTTGAGATACAGAAACAAATACGGAGAATCACAACCTAACAGAACAGTAAGCTCTGTAGGAACCAGTGCCAAGGTCAAAACAGATAAACCTGTAATCGGTGAATTGCTGGAGGCTCAGCGTAAACAAATCTGATTGTTAAAAATGCCAGGGGACTCAGTCATATGGTGGACTACCATACTTCTGTGTTTTACTTCTGTGTTTTACCTCCAGAGCTACCAGGTCTTCACAATGAATATTAGATAAAATTCTCTGGAAAGGGAAGGAGAAAACTGTTTTAAAATATGCCAGAACATTGAGTTGTTCTTAAGCCAGGTCTTCCCGCAACAGAAATGATTTTACTGTAGTCTAGTATGCTGAGATTGTATCAGCATCCTGTCACACCTAAGAGATTAGAAGTTCTAGTAAAGTTTATAGTCCAAGAATATAAATTTGCTAAAAGACTGAGGCCTAATTCATCACAGGACTATGGAACACTTAGCCTCCCCTAATACTACCATGTTCCATGGAATACCTGTTTACTGGTATTTCTTTAACCTAATGTATCATCTCTGGATTTCCACAACAACAAAATGATCAGTCATACTAACAGGCAGAATAGCTAAAGAGACTGAAAAATATCAGAAGTAGAATCATATAAGGCAGGAATGTTAGAATAATCAGATCAGGTATTTTTTGAAATGAAGATGAATATGATAAGGCTGTAATGGAAAAAGTAGAAAATGTAAAGAACAGATGAACAATGTAACAGAGACAGATGGAAATTCTAAGAGAAAGCCAAAATGCTAGAATTAAAAACAGTGTAACAGAAATGAAGAATGCCAGTGAAGGCTTATTAGTACACTGGATATGGCTTAGGAAAGAATCTTTGCACTTAAAAATATGACAACAGAAACTTACAAACTGCAAAAGTAGGAAGAAAAAAGACTGAAAAAGGGAGCAGAACACACAACAACTGTGGGACAACTACTAAAGGTGTATCCTATACACAATAGGATTAACAGAAGAAGAAAAGACTAGAAGCAGTGATGACTGAAATGGCAAGTCACAAACCACACATGCTAGAAGTTCAACACCAAGAAGAATAAATACCTAAGAAACCATGCCTTAGCATATCATATTTAAACTTCAGAAAATTGTAAAGAAAAAAAATCTTGAACAGAGGTCGGATGAAACATTACGTAAAGAGGAAATAAGAATTACATTCAACTTCTGTTCATAAACCATAAAAGCAAGAAAAGAATGGAGTGAAATATTTAAAGAGTTGAGATTAAAAGCAAAACCAAACCCCACCAACCTAGAAATCTGTGTCCTATAAAGCTATCTTGCTGAAGTGAAGACTTTACCAGACAAAAAAAAGATAATTTGTAGCCAATAGAACTATCCTATCAGAAATGTTAAAAGAAGTATATCATAAAGAAATAAAATGATACAGACCAGACATTCAGATCTACATAAAAGAAGAAAATGAGAGAAGATGTAAGTGCAGGTAAAATAAAACTATTTTTAATTGCTCTAACAGATAATAGTTTGTTCAAAATAATAATATATTCTGTTTTATATGCTTATATTTAAGGGAAATGAGTGATAGTAAAGACTTAAGGGATGAGTTTGGCCAGCACCACGGCTCACTAGGCTAATCCTCCGCCTACGGCGCCGACACCCCAGGTTCTAGTCCCAGTTGGGGTGCTGGATTCTGTCCTGGTTGCTTCTCTTCCAGTCCAGCTCTCTGCTATGGCCTGGGAAGGCAGTGGAGGATGGCCCAGGTCCTTGGGCCCTGCACCTGCATGGGAGACCAGGAGGAAGCACCTGGCTCCTGGCTTTGGATCAGCACATCACACCAGCCGCAACGCACTGGCTGTAGCAGCCACTTGGGGGGTGAACAAAAGGAAAAAGGAAGACCTTTCTCTCTGTCTCTATCTCACTCACTGTCTAATTCTGCCTCTCAAAAAAAAAAAGGGATGGGTTTCATTTAAAGACTAGGTGTGATAGTGATAGTGGACTTGTCCTATATTTTGCAACATTTATAACTAATCCAACCACTAAAAATATAAAATTATACTGTAATTGCAGAAAAAATAGAATTGTATAAAATCCTCAGTTAAAATCACAAACAGAAAAAATGTGAAAGACAAAAATAGGAACAAAGAACAGAGTTTAAAAGGATATATAGAGATCAAATATATAATATAAATTGAAAGCCAGAGATTGTTAGGATTAATTATAAAAGAAGACCCAACTTCTGTTGTCTATAAGAAATCTACTTTTTTTTGGTAAGATTTATTTATTTGAAAGTCAGAATTATACAGAGAGAGGAGTGGCAGAGTAATCTGCTGGTTCACTCCCCAACTGGATGCAACAGCTGGAGCTGAGCCGATCCAAGGCCAGGAACCACGAACTTCTTCCAGGTCTCCCACATGGATGCAGGGGCCCAAGTACTTGGGCCATCCTCTATTGCTTTCTTAGGCCATAGCAAAGAGCTGGATTGGAAGTGGAGCAGCCAGATCTCAAACCAGCGCCCATGATTTCTCCCAGGAAGATATATGAATGGCTAATTAGCTCATGGAAAGTTACTCAACATCATTACTCATTAAGGAAATGCAAATCATAATTAAAATGATGTATCACCTTATACCCACTATAATGATTAAACTTAAGAAGACAGAATAGGGGGCCAGTGCTGTGGCACAGTGGGTAAACCCACCACCTGCAGTGCTGGCATCCCACATGGGCGCTGGTTCACATCCCGGATGTTCTACGTCCGATCTAGCTCTCTGCTGTGTCCTGGAAAGCATAGAAGATGGCCCAAGTCTTTGGGCCCCTGCACCCATGTAGGAGACCTGGAAGAAGCTCCTGGCTTTGGATTGACACAGCTCCAACCATTGCAGCCAATTGGGTAGTGAGCCAGGGGATGGAAGTGCTTTTTCTCTCTCTGTGACTGACTTTCAAATAAATACATCTTTTCCAAAAAAGACAATAGCAAGTACTGATAAGGATATTGAGATATTGGATCCTTCACACACTGCAGGTGGAAATTTAAAATGGTGTGGCCATGTTGGGAAACAGTCTGACATTTCTTCAAAAGGTTAAACATAGAATTTCCATTTGACTTAGCAATTTTACTTCTAAATGTCTACTCAAGACAAGTGCAAACATATGTTCAGATAAGAACCTGTAAAGAAGTGTTCTTAATACCAATATTCATAATAGTCTAAAACTAGAAACAGTCCAGATGTACATCAACTGATGAATGAATAAACAAAATGCGATATATCCATATAACAAAATATTATTCATCAATAAAGGATTTAAATGCAAAAACTTGCTATAACAGAAATTAACTTAAATATATTAAATGAGTGAAAAACAACAGCCTCAAGAGATTGCATATTGTGTAATTTCATTTATATTATCTACCCCACATGGACAAATCTATATAAATAGAAAGTAGATTAGTGGTGTGTGGATTTTTTTTTTCTGGGGCATGATCAAAGTTTTCAAA